CCTTCTACCCGATTTAAAAGCAATAATTATACAATTTTTAATGGGCTTATAGTGTATAAAGATTTAATTTGTAAGACAATAGTGTGAAGGAGGAAACTGTACAGGAGCAAAGTTTTACTATTGCAATTAAATTGGTATTAAACTATACTAGACTGTTTTAAGTTAAGATGTTAATCTTAATCCACAGGACAACCACTAAGAAAATAACAAAAAACATAGTAAAAGAAACAGCGAGGTAATTAAAGGGGCACACCAAAAATATCTATTTAACATAAAAGAAGGCGGTGATGGAGGAAAAGAAAAACAAAAAAGACATAAGACAGAGAAAACAAATAGTAAAACAGCAGACCTAAGTCCTACCTTATCAGTAATTAAATTAAATCTAAATAGATTAAGCACTTCAATCAAAAAGCAGTGATTGGCAAATTGGATCCAACCCTATGCTGTCTACAAGAGGCACATTATAGATTCAAAGACACAAATTGCTTTAGAGTATACAGATGAAAAAATAATATGCCATGCAGACAGTAACCAAAGAAACCTAGGCAAAATAGACTTTAAGACGAAATTGTTTTTAGACACAAAGACATTTTATAATGATAAAAGTTCAATCCATTATGAAGACATAACAATTATAAACATATATACACCTAACCACAGAGCCCCAAAATAGATGAAGCCAAAACTGATGGAAATAGAGAAATAGACAATTCAATAACAATACTTGAAGATTTCAACAGAACTTCAATAAAATAATTAGGCAGAAAATCAACCAGGAAATAGAAGACTTGAACAACCAAGTATGTACCAAGTATAAACCAAATAAATCTAACAAACATCTGTAGAACATTTTACCCAACAACAACAGAATACACATTCTTCTCAAGTACACATGGAACATTTTCCAGGATAGACCATCTATTAGGCCATAAAACAAGTCTCAGTACATTTGAAAGGACTGAGTATGTTCTCTGATCATAATGAAATAAAATCAGAAATGAACAACAAAAGAAAATTTGGCAAATGAGCAAATATGTGGAAATTAACAACACATTCCTAAATAACCAATGGTTCAAAGAATAAATTATAAAGGAAATTAGAAAACACATTGAGATGAATGAAAACAAATTACAAAATACCAAAATTTCTGTAATACAGCTAAAACAGTGACTAGCAGGAAATTTATAGCTGTATACATCTATATTTAAAAAGAAAAAAATCTCAAATCAATAACTGAAACTTTTGGGACTTCTCTGGCAGCACAGTGGTTAAGAATCCACCTGCCAATGCAGGGGACACAGGTTTGATCCCTGGTCCGGGAAGATCCCACATGCTGCGGAGCAGCTAAGCCTGTGTGCTACAACTACTGAGCCTGCTCTCTAGAGCCCGCGTGCCACAACTACTGAGCACACGTGCCACAACTACTGAAGCCCGCATGCCTACAGCCCATGCTCTGCAACAAGAGAAGCCACCACAATGAGAAGCCCATGCACCACAATGAAGAGTAGCCCCTGCTCGATGCAACTAGTGAAGGCCCACGTGCAGCAACGAAGACCCAGCACAACCAAAAGTAAATAAGTTAAAATAAAATTTAATTTAATTTAATTTCCATCCTGTTGGGAAGAAGTCTCTAAAAAAAGAAAAATACCTGAAACTTTTACCATAAGAAACAAGAAAAAAAGGGTAAATTAAATGCAAAGTTAATAGAGGGAAGGAAATAATGAAGATTAGAACAGAAATAAATGAACTAGAAAGTACAAAAAAATAAAGAAAATCAATAAAACCAAAAGTTTGGTTCTTTGAAAAAGTCAGTAAAATTGACAAACTTTAGACTAACCAAGAAAAGAGATAGAGAACTCAAATTACTAAAATCAGAACTGGAAGAGGATACATTATGTATAGTGAAGAATTAACCTTACCAATAGAGAGGTTTGGCCTTTGTCCTTGGCTACTGGAATATGATCTCTAGGTCTCTGAAGAGTCCTGCCTGATAGGAGTGTCTTTGTTTGCTGGGCCCTTTAGCTATATTGTCTTATTTCCAATCTCTGAAAGAACTGGAGACTAAAGTATTAGCCCCTGGTAAGGGCTCTAGTAAGGGCTGGAGACTAAAGGTCAGCACTCACGTGAGCAGTATGTGATCAAGCCCTACTAAATTCTAGACACCAAAAGCTTAGGTGAGTTTCCCCGGTTGGTGGTACTCTATATTTTCACACATTGTAAGTGGGAGAAGGTAATGCTATCCATGACTCCATGGAAAGAGTATGATCAAAAGCTCCACACTTGAACCTCTCCCAAACTCTGCCCTGTGCATCTCTTCCTGTGGCTGATTTCAACCTGTGTCCTTTCCCTGTAATAAATCGTGAATATAATAGCTTTCAGTGAATTCTGTGAGTCCTGTTGAATTGCCAAAACTGTTTTGGAAACCACCCCACTCCGCACCCCCTGACCCCCACTGCCTAAATTTGCAATTGGTGTTAGAAGTGAAGTCAATTTTGTGGGGCCTGTTCCCTCTAATAGTACTGTTGGTTAAACTCTTCATGTATCACTACTAACCTTGTAGAAATAAAAAGGGATTACAAAGGAATACTCTGAACAATTGCAGACCAACAAATTAGATAACCTAAATGAAATGAACACATTTCTAGAAAGGCACAAACTATCAAATGACTCAAGAAGATATAGACAAGCTGAATATACCTATAGCAAGTAAAAAGAGTGACATAATCATCAAAAAACTACCCACAAAGAAAACCTGAAGCCCAGATGGCTTCACTGGTGAATTCTATGAAATATTTAAAGAACTAACACCACTCTTTTACAAGCTCTTCCAAAAAGCAAGAGGAGGGAACACTTCCCAGCTTGTTCTTTGAAGCCAGTATTACCCTGTTACCAAAACCAAACAGACATCACAAGAGAAGAAAACTGCAAACCATTATCCCTGGTAAATATGGACGTAAAAATCCTCAACAGAATATGAGCAAACAGAGTCCAACAACATAAAATGGGTTATATATCATGACAAATTGGGACTTACCTCAGGAGTGAAGGAATTCATAAATGGTTCAACATATAAAAATCAGTCAAACCATACCATATTAATAGAATAAAGGCCCCAAACCACGAGATCATCTTCATAGACACATAACAATTTGCTACAATCCAATATCCTTCACGATAAAAATACTCAACAACTAGGAATAGAAGGAAGCTTCTCAAACTTAATAAAGGGCATCTATAAAAACCCACAGGTAACATCATACTTAATGGTAAAATACTGAAAACTTCCCTGTAAGGTCAGAAATAAGACAAGGATGTCCACTTTCACCATATGCACTGGAGGTTTTATCCAAGGCAATTAGGCAATGAAAGGAAGATGTAAAACTGTCACAGATGACATGATTTTGTAAATAGAAGATCCTAAGGAATCTACACACATGTATACATATATATACATAAGTGTATTAGAACTGATAAATGAGCTCAGCAAATTTGCAGGCTGCAAAATTAACGTACAAAAATCAATTGTATTTCTGGACACGAGCAATGAAAAATCCAAAAATAAAATTAAGAAAACAGTTCAAATTACCATATCATCAAAAATAATATTCAGGAATAAAATTAATTGCTAATGGGTACAGGGTTTCTTTCTGGGGTGATGAAAATATTCTGATACTAGTGATGATAGTTGTACAGTTTTCTGAATATACTGAAAACCACTGAAATACAAACTTTAAAAGGGTGAATTTTATGATATGTGAATTATATCTCAGTAAAGCTATTATTTAAGCAAATCAATTGTGTCTTTATAAACCAGCAACTAACAGAAAATGATTTTTTTTAAATTACCATCTACAAGAGTAATAAAAGCTACCTTGGAATAAGTCTAACAAAAGTTGTGCATAAAAGTAAATAAATAAATATAAAAAAATAAATCATTAAAAAAATTTTTAAAAAAAGTTGTGCAAACCCTTGGAATTTTATAAAGCTTTTAGAAACTTTACTTCTGTAAAAGTTTTATTTAAAAAACCTACTCTTTTAGCTTCTTAAGCAGAACTCTTCCTAAGAGTTGTTCTTTTTAAATCACTACAGGATCACTTTCTAAATTATATTTGAAGTGTTTAGATTAGTTAGAAGGTGAGCTATTTAAAAGTTGATTTCTATGGATAGGAAGGTAGGATTTGTATTAAAGAGTAAGGAATAGTAAAATATGAAATTGTCATTGTTGACCTGTACAGTATTAATACTGTACTACATCATTCCAGGTAATGTTAGGGTGGCCAGAATGAGTATGATAACATATTGTTGGAAGGTTTATTTTGACATAAAATAGAAGCTGGTTTAAGTAAATCAAAGGAGAACTTAATTTCTCTAAAGTAGACTGGTAAACCTTTTAGCTCTCAACTTCTCCCACCTGCTAGTAATTCATAATCACATTGTATTTCTTTTTCTAACTATGTTTTTCACTAATGCTGGGGCTTAAGAAGAAAAGGGGAAATCTTTGGTTTAAAACTACTAGTCTCTGATATCAGGGTTCATTTTTTTTTTAATATTTTATTTATTTATTTATTTGGTTGCGCCCTGTCAGTTGCAGCAGACGGGCTCCTTAGTTGTAGCATGCATGTGGGATCTAGCTCCCTGACCAGGGATTGAACCCAGGCCTCCTGCATTGGGAGCATGGAGTCTTAACCACTGCGCCACCAGGGAAGTCCCTCAGGGTTCATTTTGCAGGTTTAAACAGTATTGATCAGCCATCGTTTAGGAATCTTTCTAGTCACATATTAGTAAAAGAATACCTTAAATCTAAGCAGCTAGATGAAAACCCAACTTTACTGAGCTAACTTTCCAGCCCGTTAAATGAGAATCTAATGCTTGAAATGACCTTTTATTTAGAAAATTGCTATATGCCTTTATTTATTTATGTAATAAATGTAAGGGATTTTATGGGAGTGCTTTGTTATTGACCTACTTGTTATGTACTATTTTAATTTCATACCCTTTAGATATTTGGATTTGAACTGCATTTTAGAATTCATCTTTACTTACAATGCCACCATCAAACGGAGGTCCAGTTGGATACACGCCCCCAGATGGAGGCTGGGGGTGGGCAGTGGTTGTTGGAGCTTTCATTTCCATTGGCTTCTCTTGTGCTTTTGGCAAATCTATTACTGTATTTTACAAAGAAATTGAAGAAATATTTAAAGCCAGCACCAGCGAAGTGTCATGGTTATCTTCCATCACGTTTGCTGTCATGTATGGTGGAGGTAAGTACTCATGACCTGCTCTTTTAACTTTCAATGGGTAGACAAAAGCTCTGTAGTAAGTGCTTTTTGTTCTTGATGCCCTTATCAGTGAGATACTTGAAATGTTAGTTCTTGGAGTTACGTGATTAGAGTCGTGTTTTTCATTGTCTTTAACAATAAAAGCTACATAGAAGCTGTGTGCTCTGTTAGGTCAGTTATAAAATGGTGTCATTATAAAGGATAACTTCCTTTAAAAATGTCTTTTGTGTTGACTGCTGGGTGTAGAAAGGTAATTGATGTTTGTATTTTAATCATATACCCTGTAAACTTGCTAAACTTTTGTTGTTTCCAATAGTTTATTGGTAGATTTTTTTCAAAAATTTTTGGTAGACAAATCTGCAAATACTGATAGTTCAGTTTCTTCATTTCCTTACACCTTTTCCCCCCTGTCTTACTGCTGGCTCGGACCTCCAGTATAATGTTGAAGAAAAGTGGTGATGGTAGGCATTCTTGTTTTGTAGTTCTGTTTTGGTTGTGTTGTTGTTTTCTGTGAGAAAGAATACATTTTAGCTAGTTTGTAAACATGCCCTTAAGTCAGAAGTTTGATCAGACTTGCTCATAAATCTCATCGTTCATGTGTTTGCTCTAGGTGACCATCTAAAAATTTAAAACAAGCAAACTTGCTACATATATGTGGATAATATCCTAGATACATGAAGAATCCTATAAACACTTATAATCAGGGTATTTGCAGCCTCTTCTGCCTTAAAATAATTAGATTATTGTCTTGCATACTTTAGTTAAAACCCATCTAATATGTCCTAGATATATAGAAAATGTGCAATCAATACTATATGTATTCCATTACACAGACCTGTGACTCTGAAATAAAGATAGAAAGTAATATTCCTTACCACTGTCTTCTGTTTCATCTGTTTATTTTCTGGGGTGGCATCCTGTCATGTTGGTAATGTCATATGCAGGTGTGGATGTGAGGGCTGGGCTTCTCCTCTGTATGACTAAGCTGTTTATTCTCTCCTAGGTCCTATCAGCAGTATCCTGGTGAATAAATATGGCAGTCGTCCAGTTATGATTGTTGGCGGCTGCTTGTCAGGCTGTGGCTTGATCACAGCTTCCTTCTGTACCACTGTGCAGGAACTTTACTTGTGTGTCGGAGTCATTGCAGGTGAGTTGCTACTGATGTATTTTCAAGCATTAATTTTTGTGTGGACTATTTATAGCATTAATTTGCCAATTCTTTTGAAAAATGAAAGCTCTTTGTTAGAAAAATTACTAGGTCACTATTTTTTAGAGCTGTTGATATGTAAATTTTAAAAAAGCAAGTCTTTAAAGAAAGTTCTGGCACTTAATGGGTGATTATTTTTATTGAATGAATAAATTGAGAAAGATTCTTTCCTTTCTTCCTTTCTTTCTTCCCTTCCTCCCTCTCTTTCTTTCTTTCTTTCCTTTTCTTTCTTTTTTTGTCTTAAGAAAGAAGATAGTGGTGATAGGTAAAAAGTTGTTGAAAGGGAGGTCATTAGCTATTCCCACTCATTTCCCATTCTACCCAAGAAGGAATTGGCTCAAATTAGAGAAAGAGAGAATGTCAGATACACAGCAGTTTCTGATAGAAAAGACAGATACATTTTCAAGGGATAAAGGGCATTCATGAGGAAACCCCCCTTTCTAATAGCTAAATTAAGAAAATAAAATTGCTGAATATAAATACAATTGACACCCATAGCTCTACAGTTCAGAGAAAACTACCATTAATATTTTGATGCCATATCAACTCATTTTTATATGCACACATAGAATTTTTAGAACAAAGAGGGATGACATTAGTGAAGTCAAACAGAGAAAGACAAATATCATATGATATCACTCATATGTGGAATCTAATTTTTTTAAATGATACAAATGAACTTATTTACTAAACAGAAACAGACTTATAGATATCGAAAACAAACTTATGGTTACCAAAGGGGAAAAGTGGAGGTGGTATAAATCAGGAGCTTGGGATGAACATACACATACTACTATATATAAGATAGATAACCAACGAGCACCTACTTATAGCACAGGGAACTCTATGCTCAATATTCTGTGATAACCTATAAGAGAAAAGAATCTAAAGGAGAATGAATGTATGTATGACTGAATCACTTTGCTCTATACCTGAAACTAACACAGCACTGTAAATCAACTATACTCCAATACAGTTAAAAAATTTTTTAAAGAGATGAGATTATGTATGTATAATGTTTGTAACCAATTTTTTCACTTAATGATACATCATGTATTATACATAGTTTCTCCATCTCAGTAAATATACTTTAGCAGCGATTATTTTTTCATGGGATAGATGGATATACCATAATTTATTTCACCATTCTCTAATTGAAGGACATTTAGATTGTTTATATTTTCACTCTTAATAAACAGTATTTGCATGATAGTGCTTTTGTATGCATCTTTGTGAAAATGATAATTTCCTTTGGATAAATTTTTAGAAGAGCAATTACTGGGAAAAAAGCGTTTTGATATCATTGGCCAAATACTCTTTTGGAAAGTTTATAATAAGTTACAGTCCCACCTGCAGGACCTGAGATAATGCCAGTAATGGGTATTATCTTTTTGGATCTATACTTTTACTACATTAATTAAATTTTTAAACATTTAGCTATTTTAACTCATCTGGATTATTTGAATAACATAAGGAAGGAATAGAACTTTATTTGTTCCCATGTGATTATTCAGCCTGTTCATTATTTCATTTATTAATTCACTCAACAAATACTTATTGAGTCCCTAACTATATGCCAGCACTGGTCCAAGCTCTGTGGGGAGAGCCAACATGACAGGCAAGATTCCCGCTGTTTAGTGGAGGGAAGCAGACAATAAGCAGACCAACAAATAAATGAATAAATAAGAAAAATATTGGGTAGTAATAACTGCTTTGCAAAGACTTAAAACAGAATTTTGATAGAGGAGAATTGAATGGTCCCTAAAGGGAAGGCTTCTCAGAGGTGGTGATTTTAAGTTGAGATCTGAATGAAAGCTAGGAGAAGACTTTGAGAAAATCTAGAAGAACAGTTACACTTAGCACAAGTAAGAATAGACTGAGATGAGGGCAGGGAGGTAGGTTAGGGCCAAATCATGGGACCTCTTAATCCAGAGTGAAAAGTTATGGACGGGCAGTCATTAGAGAGATCGAAATGTGCAAGCATCCTAACTTGGTTTACCTAGTAGGGAAGCAAGATTGGGAGACCATTTAACAGGTTATTGGGATAGTTACTGTCCCAGCCCCATTAGCTGAAAAATCCATTATTTCCCTATTAATTTAAATGTATCTTTTGGTTCTGTTTCTGGATTTTCTGCCCACTTTTAGTAATCAGTTTTTCTAACTTTGAATAAGTGCCACACTATTCTAATTACCGTAGCTGTACAATATATTTATATATTTGTTAGGGTAGGCCCACCAATTATTTATCCTTTTCCAATAGTTCTAATGCATTTGTTCTTCGGGTGTATTTTAGAGTCATTTTACCTCATTTGAAAAATAAAACACATTGAAATTTTCATAGAAATTTCATTAAATTAATGGATTTACTAAGGTAGTGTTAGCATCTTGACAATGTTGTGTTTTACTATCCAAAAACATTTTCTCTCTCTCTCCCTCCCCCTCCCTCTCTCTTGCTTCCCTTCCTTCTGCCCCTTCTCCTATCTTGCTTTCTGAATTTATAAAGTTTATCTTCTCTCCTTTTTGCTTTCAATTCCTCTGGAAAGCTATTCCTCTGGAAAGCTAAAATTATGAAATAAGACAAAGGATCTTACATTTACTGTTCTTTTTGTTGCTAAAGGATAAAGAATTATTTTTAAAAATATACATTTTTTAGGGACTCTCTGGTGGTCCAGGGTTAAGACTCTGTACTTCCACTGCAAGGGGCCTGGATTCGATCCCTGGTTGGGGAACTAAGATCCTGCATACCACATGGTGCGGCCAAAAAATATATACATATATATATATATATATATATATATACACACACATATATATATATATATACACATATATAAATATATATACATTTTAAAATTTTATAAATCTAGTATTTGCTGCATAAAGAGACTTTATGTCTGTATTTATTTGATAACAGTCCACTTAATGACCTACTAGTTATAACAGCCTCTCATGATTTTGACCTCTTTCCACTTCATTTCTTTGCCTAGTTAATTAATTCCAAATATGTTTCTGACATTTATTGGAGTATGTGATTCTTTCTTCCCCTCTCGCCAGGTCTTGGGCTTGCCTTCAACTTGAATCCATCTCTGACCATGATTGGCAAGTATTTCTACAAGAGGCGACCATTAGCAAATGGACTGGCCATGGCAGGCAGCCCTGTGTTCCTCTCCGCCCTGGCCCCCCTCAACCAGGCTCTTTTTGCTGTCTTTGGCTGGAGAGGAAGCTTCCTAATTCTTGGAGGCATCCTACTAAACTGCTGTGTGGCTGGAGCCCTGATGAGACCAATAGGGCCCAAGCCAACAACTGCAGGGAAAGAGAAGTCTAAAGAATCCCTTCAGGAAGCTGGAAAATGTGATGCAAACATGGGGGCAGGTGATGCAAATACAGAAGTTAATGGCAGAAACCCCCCAAAGGAGAAACAATCCGTTTTCCAAACAGTTAACAAACTTCTGGACTTATCCCTATTCAAACACAGAGGCTTTATGCTGTACCTCTCTGGGAATGTGATAATGTCTTTTGCGCTGGCTACACCTTTAGTCTTTCTTAGTAATTATGCCAAGAGTCAACATCACTCTAGTGAGAAGTCTGCCTTCCTTCTTTCCATTCTGGCTTTTGTTGACATGGTAGCCAGACCTTCTATGGGATTTGTAGCCAACACAGAGTGGATAAGACCTCGAGTTCAGTATTTTTTTGCTGCTTCTATTATTGCAAATGGAGTGTGTCATATGCTAGTACCCTTATCCTCTAGCTATATAGGGTTCTGTCTTTATGCGGGATTCCTTGGATTTGCTTTTGGGTGGTTTGGCGCCGTATTGTTTGAAACGCTGATGGACCTGGTTGGATCCCAGAGGTTCTCCAGTGCTGTGGGATTGGTGACCATTGTGGAATGCTGTCCTATTCTCCTGGGGCCACCAATTTTAGGTATAGTATGTTTCCCTATTTGTATGGTTCTATTAACATAAAACAGAAGATTAGGAAGGTGATAGAAAGCAGAAATCAGTGAGCTGCTTGACAGTCTTTCTTCGCTTCTGTACCCTCGGTGCTGGCACAATGCTTGGTACAGCGTAATTGCTCAAATAATAGAACTGAATTAAAGTGAATCATCAAGCTGAAAGAGGAATAAAAAACTATTACACACTTAAGTATGTATAATAATTTTTCCTGATAAAAAACCTAACATGTTTATTGTAGAAAAATGTATAACCACCTTTAAAATACTGTTGGTGATTTCTTTTTAATTGTGGAGTTTATCTCAGCAGTAATATTTAAAATAATAACAATAGGTACCAGGTGAGGGCTAACAGTATGCCAGGGACTATTGTAGTCATTTTCTATATTCTGTCATATATTACAAGTCTGTGATGTAGGACAATTATTGTTCCCGCTTTATAAATAAAGAAATAGAGGCTTCTAAAAGTGAAATAACTTGTCCAAGATCACACAGCTAGTAAGTGACTATAAAACTTGATGTATTATTCTCTTAAGAATGCTAAATGGTGAATGGATAAAGAAGTTGTGGCACATATATACAATGGAATATTACTCAGCCATAAAAAGAAATGAAATTGAGTTATTTGTAGTGAGGTGGATGGACCTAGAGTCTGTCATACAGAGTGAAGTAAGTCAGAAAGAGAAAAACAAATACTGTATGCTAATGCATATATATGGAATTTAAAAAAAAAAAAAAGGTTCTGAAGAACCTAGGGGCAGAACAGGAATAAAGACACAGACGTAGAGAATGGACTTGAGGACACAGGGAGGGGGAAGGGTAAGGTGGGACGAAGTGAGAGAGTAGCACTGACATATATACCCTATCAAATGTAAAATAGATAGCTAGTGGGAAGCAGCCGCATAGCACAGGGAGATCAGCTCGGTGCTTTGCGACCACCTAGAGGCATGGGATAGGGACGGTGGGAGGGAGATGCAAGAGGGAGGGGATATGGGGATATACGTATGCATATAGCTGATTCACTTTTTTATACAGCAGAAACTAACACAACACTGTAAAGCAATTATACTCCAATAAAGATGTTAAAAAAAAAGAATGCTAAATGGTTTACATTTTAAAATTATTATTAATACAAAATACAACAATAATTTGGACTTCTGGATGTGACCCATGCTTTTGAGATTATGCACCATAAAGTAAGGAAGGATACATAACTGAAGATCCACTACTGACCTGTCCACCCTCTCTCCTCCCTATATATACCCAAGGAGATTCCAAATCCTGTCCGTTTTTGCTTCCTAAATCTCCTTCTAATCTGCCCGTTTGCTCTCTATCACAACTACCACTCTTATCCAAATCTCCTATCTTTTATCAGTAGGCTTCTAACTTTACCCATATCCACTCTAGCTGTTCTTCATCTCTTAGAACACTCCAGTTGCTTCCCACGTTCTCAGGGTGAAGATCAAATTCCCTGCTGTGGCCTACTAGGTCCTGCGTGGCCTGGCCCACCTGTGTCTCCAGCCTCATTTCCCACCACTCAGTTTGCTCTCTGCTTCTCCTCTCACACCCTGTGCTTCCTTCTATCACCTGCCTTTGCACTGGCTGTTCTCTGCCCTGAGCCTTTTCCCATCTCCCTTCTTGATAACTCCTATCCTCCTGTAAGTCTTGGCTAAGTTTACACTTTAAGAAAAGCCTTCCTGGGCTTCCCTGGTGGCTCAGTGGTTAAGAATCCGCCTTCCAATGCAGGGGGCACAGGTTCGGGCCCTCGTCCGGGAAGATCCCACGTGCCACGGAGCAACGAAGCCCGTGTTCCACAACTACTGATCCTGTGCTCCAGAGCCCACGAGCCACAACTACTGAGCCCGCGTGCCACAACTAATGAAGCCCACACGCCTAGAGCTCGTGCTCTGCAACAAGAGAAGCCACCGCAATGAGAAGCCCAGGCACTATAGCCAAGAGTAGCCCCCGCTCGCCGCAACTAGAGAAAGCCCGTGCACAGCAACAAAGACCCAACGCAGCCAAAAATAAATTTTTTTTTAATTAAAAAAAAAGAAAAGCCTTCCTGACCCTACTTGCTAGTCTTAAAACCCTTATTTTCTGCCTTCAAACCTTCCTTGTAGCACTTGTCACAGTCTGTATAGTTATTGGATTAACATTTCTCTTCTCCACTGAGCTGTGGATGTTACCTCCTTTGCTCACCCTTAACTCAGGGCCTAGCAGACCCAGGGCCATGTGTATGTTTAGAGAATCAATAAGTATTGCTGAGCGAGTGATGCCTTGCATTGGAAAACCATATGGAGTCATATTTGAATTGCTTATTATGTCCTTTATATGGGTAGTATTTTCCAAAGTTTATTTCTTTTATTTATTTATTTGGCTGCATTGGGTCTTAGTTGCGGCACGCGGGATCTTCATTGTGGCGCTTGGGTGCCCTGGTTGTGGGGCATGGGCTCCAGAGCACGTGGGCTCAGTGGTTGCAGCACGCGGGCCCTCTAGTGGTGGCTCGCGGGCTCTAGAGCGTGCAGGCTCAGTAGTTGTGGCGCGCAGACTTAGTTGCCCTGCGGCATGTGGGATCTTAGTTCCCTCACCAGGGATCGAACCCACATCTCCTGCATTGGAAGGTGGATTCTTAACCACTGGACCACCAGGGAAGTCCCTCCAAAGTTTATTTCTTAATGCTAGTTTGAGATACTAATAAATTTTACTATTACAAGGATTTCATGGCCAAACAAAGATTGGAAACACCAAAGTAAATAAGTTTCTTTACCTCATAAATAAGTAAATAAGTTTCTTTACCTCATAAAGCCTTTAATAGAAAAGACTATGTGTCATTTCCAAATTTACTTGACTTTGCAAACACTAGGGAGTAACCCTGTAGCACAGAAGTTATGGTGCAGGCCTCAGAGGCAGACTTGCTGGGTTGAAAGCCAACCTGTTTCATTTACAAGCTTTGTGACCTTGGACGAGTTACTTAAGGTTTCTGTACTTCAGTTTTTCTGTTATACAGTGGGGATGATGGTAGAATCTTCCTGTTGTGAGGATTAAGCACTTAGAATGGTGGAAAGGTGTTGCTGTTAGTTAATGTTAGCAGAGGATGAGTGTTCACAGGAACGCCCTTTGGGAAATGCTGATGTCAGAGAAAGTGCATTGGCCTGGGAGACTGGAATTAGCTCAATGGCGTTGGGCAAGACTACTAAACCTCTTTTGAGCAACAAATTTTTCCATTGAATATTGAGAGGATTGACTCTAGGTGGTCTCTAGGACTTTCCCAATTCAAATTTGCCAAGATTTAATTATTTTCAAGTTGCTAAAGATAATAGAATACACAGGGCCATCCAAAATCAGTTGACATCATAAACAAAAGGTCAAATAATTCTGAGCAGTTTCTATTTAGACTAATTTGTCATTTACGAGCTCTTTGAGTGGATCCTTAAGCTTTATTTGGGAAAGGGTATAATTGTTTACCCACATCACTTTATTTTTTTTTTTTGGACATCCTTAGGTCGTCTCAGTGACATATACGGAGACTACAAATATACATACTGGGCATGCGGCATAATCCTTATTGTCTCAGGCATCTATCTCTGCATTGGCATGGGCGTCCATTATCAACTTGAGGCAAAAGAACAGAAGGCAGAGGCGAAGCAGAATAAGGAAAGTAAAGAGATGGAACCAAAAGAAGTTATTAAAGCTGCAGAATCTCCAGAACTGAAAGGCACAGAAGCAGGACCCAAAGAGGAGAAACTTTCAGGCTGAAGTCAGAGATAAACAGAAGCTTTGGAGCAAAGATACTTGAAAAATTCTACTCAATCATGTTCTACTCTTGGTGCTAACAGTGGATAGTGGACATTTGTGTGGAAGTCATACCAGGTGTTCATTGATAGAACTTTTATTTCCTTCCTTTACAACAGTCATAATAAATATGTCACGTCCTTTAGGGGCAGGGGATTTGCAAAAGGTGACAGAAGGAAAAAGCTTTTATTTGAAGTCATATTTATTAAGGTATACCTTAAATACTTACAAATCTCTTTTATAAGAGTAAAGTTTAATGAATTTTGACACAAGTATTTTGTCAAATAACTACCACACTAATATAGAATATTTCAAACAGCCAAAATAATTCCCTTCTGCTCCTTTGCAGTTAATCCCCTCCCCTTAACTATAGCCCCTGGCAGCCACTGCTCTGATTTCTGTCCCCTATAGTTTTGTCTTTTCCAGAATGGAATAAATGGAATCACATAGTATGTAACTATGGCACAATTGTGTATATATATGGTCTTTATCCTCAGTTCCTGGTATACAGGTCCTAGAAGCCTTGGAATCTCTGGAGTGATAAGAGTCTCTTTTGCATGCTAATTAGGTGACTGGTGGCTGGAGACCCCTTTCTTAACTTCAGGATAGGGGCTAGTCTCCAAAAAGGCCAAAGCATGATTGGAAGGTTGGAACTTTCAGCCCCATCCTCTGACCTCTGAGAAGGGGAGAGGGGCTGGAAGTTGGGTTCAATTATTAATGTCCAATGATATAATCAATCATGCCTATGTAATAAAACCCCCTAAACTACAGAGAGCTTCCTGGCTGGTGAATACTTTGAGGTACTGGGAGAGTAGTGTGCCCAGAGAGGGCATGGAAGCTCCCTACCTCCCCTCCCCCCCATATTTTACCCTATGCCTCTCTTCCATCTGGCTGTTCTGAATTGTATCCTTTATAATAAATCACTGAACGTAAGCAAAGTGTTTCCTGAGTTCTGTGATCCATTCTAGTAAATTATCAAACTTGATGGAGTCATGGGAACTCCCAATTTATAGCTGATTGGTCACAAGTACAGGTGGCAACCTGGGACTTGAGACTGGAATCTGAAGTGAGGGCAGTCTTGTGAGACTAAGCCTTTAAATCTGTGGAATCTGACACTAACTCTGGGTACTTTATGTCAGAATTGAACTGTAGGACACCCAGTTGGTGTCTGGAGAGTTGGCGCAATGGTTGTTGGTATGGAAATAACCCACACATTTGGTGTCAGAAGTGTTGTGAGTAAAAGCAGTTGGGAGTAGCCTTTTGTGTCTGGCTTCTTTCACAAGAGCATAATGTTTTATGGTTCATCCATGTGGTTGTATTTTTCAGTAGTTCATTGCTTTTTATTGCTGAGTAGTATTTCTTTGTAGAGATGTACCATAATTTGTATATCCTTCCCCCAGTTGGACATTTGAGCTTTGTTCTAAGTAAAGAGATCTGTGCAGACATATGCTTTCATTTCTCTTGGGTAAATGCCTAGGATTGGAGTTGCTGGGTCATATGGCAAGTGCATCTTTAACTTTGTAAGAAACTATCAAACTCTTTTCTCAGTAGCTATACCATTTGGTAATCCCACTAGCGATGTATGAAAATTCTAGCTATTCTACATCCTTGTCAGCACTTGGCATTGCCGATCTTTTTAACTTTCCCGTTCTACTTGGTATGTAGTGTGTGACATTTCCCTGAACATTAAAGATGTTGACCATTTTTCCATGTGCTATCCTCCGTATATTTTTAGAGAAGGTTTTTTTTTTTTTTTTTTTTTTTTTTTTTTTGGGCTGTGCTGCGTGGCATGTGGGATCTTAGTTCCCTGACCAGGGATTGAACCCGTGTCCCCTGCAGTAGAAGTGTGGAGTCCTAACCACTGGACTGCCAGGGAATTCCTGAGAAGGTTTATTTTTTAATCCCGACATTTAACAGTCTTAAAAATATTTAGGTGCCCTGAGGTTTTGTCCTTCAAACTCTTTAGGTGACTTTTCCTGGCATATCTGACAGTGAAATGAACAATATATTTGCACACCCTTAAATGTGTGGCAGTGTATTTAAATAGATGGTTATGAAGTCTAATAGCATGGAAAGATCCTTCTGTTATAAGCATGATACAATGGTACGTGAAAAAAGCAGAACACAAACTAGATAAGTATATATAATATACTCTCAGGGAAAAAAAAGAGGAAAGAGATAAACACAAAATTCCAACCATACTTGTGTTGGAATGGTGACTTTTTCCCTATATTCATTTTCCTTAACGTGAATGTGATTGTTATTTTTCACTAATAACAGAGGAAAAATGAATAGATTTGAAATAGAAGAGTTCTGACAAGAGGCACTTATCTCCTAAGAAAATAAAGCTAATGATTATTATAAACCATTATCTATTTGTTTATCTTTAAGAGTTGCATTCTGGTGAAAGGGAGGCGAGTGTGACATGGAAGTTGAGCGCACAGAGCATGAATAGCCTCAAGGCATGATTTTGCTTGTCCTGGACAAAGCTGTGGAGGGTAGAGTCCACAGGCCGCCTGTGTCAACCATCATTGCTTCCCTCCTGGAGACAGTGCTCTCAGGGACAGCATTCCTGTGGTTCCCCTTCCAGTCATCATTCAGCTGCAAATGCATGTCTAACTCAGGAAGCCAGAGCATTCTGCACTTACCCACATCACAGCGTTATGCTTTTGAACATTATCTTACTGAGAGCAGCATCAGAAAAAAGTACAGTGAGGGACTTCCCTGGTGGTCCAGTGGGTAAGACTCTGTGCTCCCAATGCAGGGGGCCTGGGTTCGATCCCTGGTTGGGGAACTAGATCCCGCATGCATGCCACAACTGAGTCCACACACCACAATGAAGATCCCGCATGCCGCAACTAAGACCCGGCACAGCCTAAATAAATAATTTTTTTTTTTTTGAAAGAAAAGGGTACAGTGATGTCACAAAAAGACAGGGTGATGTGGACCAAAGGAGGAGGTCTACCTTTCCATACATCCACTCAACAGATATTATTGACATTTACCCTAAGTGTCAGTTCTAAACAGGGTTCTAGGCATTGAAGATTCATTCTGTGTTCCACAGATCTCACTTTCTGGTAGGGGAAGGCAGACAGTTAACAGTAAGTTGTAAGGAAAACAGCAGTTTTCAGAATAGAGCAATGGTTAAAAGATCAGCCCTCATGAAAGAATGCTCAACATCATTAATCATTAGAGAAATGCAAATCAAAACTACAATGAGATATCATCTCACACCAGTCAGAATGGCCATCATCAAAACATCTAGAAACAGGGCTTCCCTGGTGGTGCAGTGGTTGAGAGTCCACCTGCCGATGCAGGGGACATGGGTTCGTGCCCTGGTCCGGGAAGATCCCACATGCCGCGGAGCGGCTGGGCCCGTGAGCCATGGCCGCTGAGCCTGCGTGTCCGGAGCCTGTGCTCTGCAACGGGAGAGGCCACAACAGTGAGAGGCCCACCTACAGCAAAATAATAATAATAATAATAATAATAATCTAGAAACAATAAATGCTGGAGAGGGTGTGGAGAAAAGGGAACACTCTTGCACTGCTGGTGGGAATGTAAATTGATAGAGCCACTATGGAGAACAGTATGGAGGTTCCTTAAAAAACTACAAATAGAACTACTATATGACCCAGCAATCCCACTACTGGGCATATACCCTGAGAAAACCATAATTCAAATAGAGTCATGTACCAAAATGTTCATTGCAGCTCTATCTACAGTAGCCCGGAGATGGAAACAACCTAAGTGTCCATCATTGGATGAATGGATAAAGAAGATGTGGCACATGTATACAATGGAATATTACTCAGCCATAAAAAGAAACGAAATTGAGCTATTTGTAATGAGGTGGATAGACCTAGAGTTTGTCATACAGAGTGAAGTCAGAAAGAGAAAGACAAATACCGTATGCTAACACATATATATGGAATTTAAGGAAAAAAATGTCATGAAGAACCTAGGGGTAAGACAGGAATAAAGACACAGACCTACTAGAGAATGGACTTGAGGATATGGGGAGGGGGAAGGGTAAGCTGTGACAAAGTGAGAGAGAGGCATGGACATATATACACTACCAAATGTAAGGTAGATAGCTAGTGGGAAGCAGCCGCATAGCACAGGGAGATCAGCTCGGTGCTTTGTGACCGCCTGGAGGGGTGGGATAGGGAGGGTGGGAGGCAGGGAGATGCAAGAGGGAAGAGATATGGGAACATATGTATATGTATAACTGATTCACTTTGTTATAAAGCAGAAACTAACCATTGTAAAGCAATTATACTCTAATAAAGAAGTAAAAAAAAAAGATACAAGGAAATAAAAATTTTAAATAAAAATTACTCAAACCCCCCCCCCCCAAAAATAAAAATAGAACTCAGGCTTACCGGACCTACTGACTCACAATCTGCACTTTTACAATCTCCCCAGTGTACTTGTGTACCCATGAATAGTTGAAAGGTACATTTCTACCTCGACATGTCTTTTCTGTCTGAGAAATACACCTATTTTATCCAATTTGGCATAAATAAAACACTCAAAACTGCAAAAAAAAAAAAATCAGCCTTAATTTATTCATTCATCTAAGCAGTTTTTTTTTGAGTATCATCTATGTGCCTGACTATTTGCTGGATAGAGGGAATAACAGTGAACAAAATCCAGTTCCTGGAACCCACAGCTTCTAGTCTAGTGGGGAAGACTGCACAGTAAGTGCTGTGATGAGACAGCACATGAAAGGGTACCTAACTCTACCTTGGAAGGGCCTAGAAAGCCTAAAGGTATATCAACTCTGAGTCTCATAACAGAAGCATAATATAATTGTTGTGAGGATTAAAGTGCCCAGCATACGGTTTTAGTCATTTTAATAATGAAATTGGAATCTACTCACACCGAGCAGTGCAGTGAGGGAAGCGTCAGTATGTTTCATCATTAACCAGAACAACAATGAAAAATAACTGCTGATAACACTTACATAGTTCATGGTTTACGTAGCCCTTCTACCTGCAGTTTATCATCCAATCCACACAAAACCCCAGGGAGGCAGCTATAGTTAAAAACAATGCATGTGATATCCTGGATTGGGTCCTGGAACCACAAAAAGACACTAATGGAAAAACTGGTCTGTAGTTAATAGGATTGTCCAGTGTTAACTTCTTAGTTATGACCAATGTTCCGTGATTATGCAAGAAATTAACATCAGAGGAAGCAAAATATGTATAACTAAATCACTTTGCTGTGTACCTGAAACTAATACAACATTGTGAATCAACTATACTCCAATATAAAATAAAACATTTAAAAAAAAAATAAATTAAAAAAACATCAGAGGAAGCTAGGTGAAGAGCATATAGAAACTCTCTGTACCAACTTTTCTGTAAATTTAAAATTTCAATGAAAAGTGAAAAAACCAAAAAATTCACAACACAACCCCTCCATCTTAGCAGGTCATCTACTGTCAGAAGAGCATGGCAGCTCAGCGGCTAGAGCTGAAGGTGGGGCTGGATGGAAACTCTGGAAACAAACACTAGAATGGAAGAGGCGAGTCCTGCGTAATCCTGGAGGGTAAATAATGGCCAAAGCAGTCACTCAGGTCCTGCCCCAAAAAGAGCAAGATGATTCCTGGTCCCCAATGAATTCGCAATCTGATTTACAGTCCTTTTCTTTGGCACTGGAGTTCATAATGTGATTTCTTCACTTGTGGATTTCCTTTCCTACCATGCTTTACCATTTCAAGAATCAAAAGAGAGCTTCCCTGGTGGCGCAGTGGTTGAGAGTCCACCTGCCGATGCAGCGGACATGGGTTCGTGCCCCGGTCCGGGAAGATCCCACATGCTGCGGAGCGGCTGGGCCGGTGAGCCGTGGCCGCTGAGCCTGCGCGTCCGGAGCCTGTGCTCCGCGGCGGGAGAGGCCCCGGCGGTGAGAGGCCCGCGTACCGCCAAAAAAAAAAAAAAAAAAAAAAAGAATTAAAAGAGCTTGCATTGCTGAGCTCTTGCCCGCTGGGTTGCAGGTGGCCAGCAGCCATGAAGAAGCCGGAAGGGGAAGTGGGCTGAGACTAAGTCCCTTGGTAGGCTGACAATCTATAAATGTGTAATCAAGAGATGTTCACCCTGGGGTGTTTTTCTCTTCTTGCTGTGCTTAATTCTCTGTACCCTCCCACCCCACTTAAAAAAAAAAAAAAAAAAGGAAGAAAAGCACCTGACTGCTTTCCTGATTATAATTCTGAATACTTTTCAAATCTGAGGCTGTAGAGACATTTTTAAAATTTTTATAAGTATTTCTTTATTCATCTTATATGTAATATCTGAAGGCCAACCACATGCCCAACACTGTATAGAGCCTTGGGAATATACAATAGTGACTAACATGGGGATGTTCCCTCGGAGAGCTTATAGTCTAGAGGGTGAGAAAGACATAAACAGAGTACATAATCTGTAATTAGATTTAAGGAAAGACCAGGGTTAGACACTATGCTGCTTCTTGCCACCTGATGACTATATTTGATGTTACTATGTCACTTTGCGAAACATCTGGATAAAGTCAGTAAATTCCAATACTTTTCAGTCTATCAAAACAGTTTTTACCTAAAGTAGTTTTTAAAAATCCTGATCGCCCATAAACAAAACGAAAAGACACTCTATGGACTGGGAGAAAATATTTGCAAACAATGCAACCAACAAGGGCTTAATTTTCAAAACATACAAACAGCTCATACAACTCAATAACTAAAAAACAAACAACCCAATCAAAAAATGGGCAGAAGGACTTCCCTGGTGGCGCAGTGGTTAAGAATCCGCCTGCCAATTCAGGGGACACAGGTTCAAGCCCTGGTCCGGGAAGATCCCACCTGCTGCAGAGCAACTAAGCCCGTGCACCACAACTACTGAGCCTGCTCTCTAGAGCCTGTGAGCCACAACTATTGAGCCACATGCCACAACTACTGAAGGCCATGCTCCTAGAGCCCGGGCTTCGCAACAAGAGAAGCCACTGCAATGAGAAGCCCAAGCACCACAACATAGAGTAGCCCCTGCTCGTTGCAACCAGAGAAAGCCTGCGCGCAGCAACGAAAACCCAAGGCAGCCAAAAATAAATAATAACTTAATTAATTTTTTAAAAATGGGCAGAAGACCTGAATAGACATTTCTTTTTCTTTTTCGGCTGCCTTGGGTCTTCGTTGCTGCGTGCAGGCTTTCTTTAGTTGCGGTGAGCAGGGGCTACTCTTCGTTGCGGTGCGCTGGCTTCTCATAGCAGTGGCTTTTCTTGTTGCGGAGCACGGGCTCTAGGCACAGAGGCTTCAGTAATTGTGGCTTGCAGGCTCTGGAGCGCAGGCTGAGTAGTTGTGGTGCACGGGCTTAGTCGCTCTGCGGCATGTGGGATCTTCCCGGACCAGGGCTCGAACCCACGTCTCCTGCATTGGCAGGTAGATTCTTAACCACTGTGCCACCAGGGAAGCCCCTGAACACACCTTTCTCCAAAGAAAATATACAGATGGCCAATAGGCACCTGAAAAAATGCTCAACATTTCTAATCATCAGGGAAATGCAAATAAAAACTACTATGAGGTATCATCTCACAGCTCTTGGAATGGCCGTCATCAAAAAGTCTACAAATAATGTGTTGGAGAAGGTATGGAGAAAAGGGAACACTCCTACACTGTTGGTGGGAGTGTAAATTGGTGTAGCCACTATGGAAAATAGTATGGAGGTTCTTTAAAAAACTAAAAATAGAGCTGCCACATGATCCAGCAATCCCACTCCTGGGTATATATCTGGAAAAGATGAAAACTCTAATTCAAAAAGATACATGCACCCCAATGTTCTTAGCAGCACTATTTACAATAGCCAAGACATAGAAGCCAAGACATAGAAGCACTATTTACAATAGCCAAGACATAGAAGCAACCATAGAAGCACTATTTACAATAGCCAAGACATAGAAGCAATAGCCAAGACATAGAAGCAACCTATATATATATATATATATTTATTATATATATATAATAAAAAGGAATATTACTCAGCTGTAAAAAAAAGAATGAAATAATGCCATTTTCAGCAACATGGATGGAGCTAGAGATTATCATACTAAGTGAAGTCACAGAGAGAAAAACAAATAATACATGATATCACTTATATGTGGAATCTAAAATAATGATACAAATGAACTTATTTACAAAACAGAAATAGACTCACAGACATAGAAAACATATTTATGGTTACCAAAGGGGAAGGGGGGAGGAATAAATTATGAGTATAAGATTAACAGAGACTACCATATATAAAGTGGATAAAAACCAAGGATTTACTGTATAGCACAGGGAACTATATTCAATATCTTATAACATATAATGGAAAAGAATCAAAAAAAGAATATACCCAAATCATTTTACTGTATACTTGAAACTCACACAATATTGTAAATCAACTGTACTTCAATTAAAAAAAAGAAAAAGAGGGCTTCCCTGGTGGCGCAGTGGTTGAGAGTCCGCCTGCCGATGCAGGGGACACGGGTTTGTGCCCCGGTCCAGGAAGATCCCACGTGCCACTGAGCCTGTGCTCAGTGACGGGAGAGGCCACAACAGTGAGAGGCCAGCATACCGCAAAAAGAAACAGAAAGAGATAAAAATTCCGATCACTTGGACACACCCAAGACCAGATAAGTCAGATTAGGGTGGAACCAAGCATCAATGATTTTTTTTTTAATTGATGTACTGTTAATTTACAATATATTAGTTTCAGGTGTACAACATAGTGATTCACAATTTTAAAAGGTTATACTACATTTATAGTTATTTTAAAATATTGGCTATATTCCCCTGCTGTACAATAAATCCTTGTAGCTCATCTATTTTTTACATAGTGGTTTGTACCTATTAATCCCCTGAGGCTGTAGAGTCATTTAGTGACAACCACTGCCTCAGCCCTAGAACCAGCTAAATTCTAAGCATTATCCACTTTCTCAGATGCCGAGGATAAGCGCAAGCCAAGGAAGACTTGCACCTGCTGGGCTAGTTTTCTGAGCTGGAAGCTCTGGAGTGCTCTTAGCCTCCTCCCACATGGAAGGAATCCCTCCCGCTTACTTTGCATCACTTAGCAACACCCAAAAGTTGTTGTGCTTCAGCGTCTCCCCTGTCCACCCCCTCCTCACCTGTTTTCCCTGCTACAGCCTTGGGCCAGGCCCTCACACACTCATCAGAATTCCTGAAATAGCCTCCAACGGACCCCCACAGGCTGGGTCTCACTCCTCACTTCCAATCCACTCTCAACACTGCTACTGTCAAAGTATAAGCATGACGAGGTTAAAACATGCCCATCATACACGTATATAAGGAGCATGTGGCAAAGATTGGTTTAACTCCTTAACGGAGGAACTAGCAGAATAGTAAATCCAGTTCAAAGGAAAATTCAAGAAACAATATAGTCGATGAAAAAAGGAATGCCAGAATGATTGCAAACTTAGAGATACAATAAAACTAACTAACCTTCGCTCTTTCACACATTTACATTCCTCAGCCACTGCCTTCATTCCCAGGTCTCTTTATCTGAGGCCTCTGAGGTCCTCTTCAGGCACTTCTGCCCAGGCCTCCTTGCGGGCAGGGGAGGGGGGAGGGGGAAACCAGTGCTCAGTGCCCAGGTCTTTCCCCAGCTCACCCTTCCCCAACCCCAGAGTCCATCAAACTGCTGGAGCCTTTTGTTGGGCGCTCCCTCAATAGTGAGATGACCCCACATCTGTGCTGGTCCACCTGGGCCTCAGGAAAATGGAACAGGGAGAGCCACTGCTTCCTGTTTTAGCTTCTTGTTTACACCATCACAGCAAGTGGTTACAGGCTTACCTCTTCCATTTAGGGCTGGTTGCTTTAACTGGCTACTCAGACACCTGACAGCTCTGTTGCTCCTGTCTCAGCTGAGCTCCTACCAGGGTTATATATTTTTACTGGACAAGGGAACATTTGCATCTCTGCAAGGCAAAAACTATGAGTGAACACAGAGCATCCCAGAGCCTGGGCCCTAAACAATAGTAAATAGATAGCAAAGGTTTCTTCTCCCGATACTACTCAGCCATAAAAAAGAGTGAAATAATGCTATTTGCAGCAACATGGTTGGACCTAGACATTGTCATACTAAGTGAAGTAAGTCAAAAAGAGAAAGACAAATACCATATGATATCACTTATATGTGGAATCTAAAATATGACACAAATGAACTTATCTACAAAACAGAAACAGACTCACAGACATAGAGAACAGACTTGTGGTTGCCAAAGGGGAAGGGGCGTGGGGAAAGGATGGATTAGGAGTTTGGGATTAGGAGATGCAAACTACTATATACAGAATGGACAAACAACAAGGTCCTACTGTACAGCACCGGGAACTATATTCATTATCCTGTGATAAACCATAATGGAAAAGAGTATGAGAAAGATGTATGTATAACTGAATCACTTTGCTGTACAGCAGAAATTAACACAGTGTTGTAAATCAACTATACTTCCTTAAAAAAAAGTTTTTTAAAAAAAGGTTTATTCTCCTGGATTCTAGAACCTAGAGAATTAAATAATCTGTAGGTAGGTGCATTGGGCAAGGATCCATCCAAAGAGGACCTTGAAAGGACACATAGTCATCCTTTGCCCTATTTCTAAGTTTTAGATGATTTTGTGTAACACTGCCAAAATGAGGTACTGTTGCAACCTTGACACTTAACTGCTGGTTCAGCCTGTTGGCACTGCCCGGACAGTAGCCAAGCTCACATCTGCTCCAGCTCCCTCCAAGTCCTGGGCCACCTACCTGTGCAGCTCCAGGCCAAATGGCACCAGCAGCTTCCACTGCAGGTCACCTGGCTTGTCAAGGCTGGAGGCAGTGAGGGAGAGACAAGGGTTCTAGTTTGTTCTTATGGGGCTTGTTGACCTTGTTCTCCCCAACCTCACCTCCAGTTTTTCTTCCCAAATCCTGTCCCTGCAGGTATACAGCAATTCCAGGCCCAGGCCAGATGCAGGGACCACAGGCTTCCACGGAATCCTTCACCGGTTCCCACAATTACGTAGGGTGTAATTCTTATCATAAATTGCTTATTTCATATCATTCTTAGTGATTCTGTTCTCTGCACAATCCTGACTGATACACTCCCCAAATTTTCTCAGTGGCCTTTTTTGGGTTCTGATGTCTCTTCATGGCTAGAGTGCAATAGTTATTAAGAGAATAAACCTTGATGTTAAATTCCAGCTCAGACCCTCCCCAGCTCTGACTCCCCAGGCACAGCATTTAACTTCTCTAAGCCTCAGTTTCTACATCTGTAAAATGGGAATAACAGCAGAACTCCATTAGAAGGTTGCTATGAGGATTAAACAAGGCAATGGCAGTAAAATCCTTCCTGACCTAGTGTAAACACTCAATATTCACTATGATCATTACCTCTATCATAAATAACACTTATCACTGTGACTTGCTTTTCTGAACCACCATCGTCACACACATCAGAGTGTGAACTTCTTGAGACAGTGAGCAAAGAGACATCCCTTTTGATTGGAGGGCTGAGGAAGCTTCCATGTCAGCTGGGCCCTGAATAGTTGGATGGGCGTGGGTAGATAGGGGAAGGATGGCATCTCTCTTAGAAAGGAAAAACCAGAGATAGGTGTGTAGAGACCAGCAGTAGAACCAACGAGGCTTTGAAATTGTACAAATTATCTTAATTGAGCAACATGTGTTAACAGACTCTGCTTCAGGCCCTGGGCTGGGCTAGGAAGATAGAACGTTGAATAAGAAGCTTTCTGTCTGGACTTCCCTGGTGGCACAGTGGTTAAGAATTTGCCTGCCAATGCAGGGGACATGGGTTCGACCCCTGGTCCTGGAAGATCCCACATGCCGCGGAGCAACTAAGCCTGTGTGCTACAACTACTGAGCCTGAGCTCTACAGCCCACGAGCTACAGCTACTGAGCCCGCACCTGCGTGCCACAACTACTGAAGCCCGTACGCCCAGAGCCCGTGCTCTGCAATAAGAGAAGCCACTGCAATGAGAAGTCCGCGCACCGCAACAAAGAGTAGTCCCCGCTCGCCGCAACTGGAAAAAGCCCCCGAGCAGCAAGGAAGACCCAATACGGCCTAAATAAATAAATAATTTTTTAAAAAAAGGAAGAAGACTCCTGCCTACTTAAAAAAAAAAAAAAAAAAAAGAAGCTTTCTGTCTGTTGGGGGCAATAAAAGGATATCAGTACTTATAACACAATGTGATGAGAACCCCAAAAATCCAGCAGCTGAACTCCAAGGACTTAAAAGTGAATCAAGGGCAGAGTGTTTCCCAAGCCCAGGTCTGATGAGGGCAGAAGGCAGAGGACATCCCTGTAGGCCTATGGACTGCCTTGGGGAAATGAATGAAGAGACATCTGTGCTCTATGCCCACTCCATCCCCCAACCTTCTCCCTCCCTCTCTCCCTTTTGGGTGAACATGGGTTAGTATTGAGTAGGAAGTGAATGTCCCTGTTCCTTGAGCCCAGTTCTCTAGGCCTGATTATAGAAGAGGCAACCAGAGGCTGGGGTAGTACATCTAAAATTATTGAGAAGAAAATGTATTATCTGCCTAAAGAAATGTGTCAAAAGAGAGCACAAGAAAGCACAGTAAAATGTGTTCCACCTGGAATGTAAGCTCCATGAGGCAGGGACTTTTGAGTATCTGAAGATTCCATCTCTGGTATGCAGTCAAAGATGTGGTATGTGGTAGCATTCAAGTATGTGCTGAAAGTATAAAATAATGAATAAATGAATGAGGGAATGAAGACTCAAGAGATGGATCCCCCCTGGGTGGGGACTGGCACACAAGCTGCCCTGCTCAGTGCTCTCAGATGTAGCCAAAGACCTATGTTCTTTTAAACACTTGAAGCATCAACCAACTCCTTTGGGTTTACTTTTCTCCCCACCCGTAGCACGTGCCTCACCTTCCCCACCCGGAGTTCTATCAGCCAAAGGGAGCAAAAATGCCCAGCATGCAGGAAGGACATTCCAGTCCAGATGACAGATACCCTCCTGCAAGAACTCCCCACTAGGCAACCTGGCGTGTGGCCGCAGGCGAGTGAATGATCATGTGTCTGTCAGGCTCTCAGGCTCCATTCAACCCTGGGGGACTGACAAGAACAAACCACTACAAGTTCACCAAGGTGGTGCCGCCCAAGACGGCCTCCGGGCCTGGTGACGCCTCCACCTCACCATTCCCCTAATCTGATTTTTCACTGGTCACTTGAGTGTTTCTCCAGACACTGCTGATGGGCTCCAACCCTGGGAACTGACTGACGCGGTGCCCAGACGGCGTGCCTCTCAGCAGCCTCCCTGCCCCACACATCCCACAGCCCCAGCCTCGGGGTCAGTCCCCAGGAACCTGAGCCGCTTGTGCTTCTCAGAAAGGAACAGACACCTTGGGGACCTGCTCAGGACCTGCCATGGGTGTCAGCCCAGCCCACCGCCTAAAAGCTCACCGGGCCTCCTCCCACATCTGGCAACACCAACACATATTCACCAGGCAAGATGGTGCAGTGGGCTCGGGGCTCAGAAAGACCTGGGTTTGGAGCCTGGCCCTACCACCCACTGGCTGTGTGGCTCTGGGAAGATCACTTTGCTTCTCTGTGCCTCGGTTTCCCCATCTGTAAAATAAGGATAACAACAGCCGTATCAGCCAGAGTTTAGCACAGGAAACAGGAACCACTCAAAGTATTTTGAGCAGAGAGTGACTTGATACGGGGGGTTAGGTGCTAATGGGATGGTTGGATGGCTGGGCAGGGGAAGGGAGGAGGTAAGGCTGAGTCTCCAGAGGATCTGCTCCCTCGCTGTGGGCAGGAGAGGAAGGTGAGCATCTGGAGGTTGCCCTGGCACTCCTGAATTCAGGATACAAGTGTATCCTGGGGATCCAAGGAGCAGGCAGGGCCTCCACTGCAGCTGCCAGGGGTGGGGACCACACACTGGACATCACTGCAGTAGAAGATGCACATCTGTATGACCCCATTTGCCAAAAGGGAGCAGCCAAAGCAGTAGGAAGGCGGCCTCTGGTTCCCTTCCACCTTCCAAATCCCATGTGAGGGTCTCAGCGTTGCATCACAGGATGCTTCCCCCCCACCCCAACCTCCCCAAAAGGCCTCTCCCCCACCTCCACTTCCCTCCTTTCCTGCCGACCCCAGGCTGGATGTGGCGGTGTGGGGCGCCCTCGTGTGGTCGAGAGCGGCCCTGCAGCCCCGCCACCAGGATCCCAGGCTGCCCTCCTCCTCCTCCTCCTGCACCCGCGCTGCCCTCCTGCCGGAGCCCCGGGCCCCGCTGTCCCACGGACGTCATGGCTGTGCCACCGCCCACGCCCACTACTCCAACTGGCCCGCCTCCAAGCTACATTCCCTCCTTCTTTTACCTCTGAATGCTTTCTCACTTATATTTTAAAATTCAATGTTCTATACATATCAAAGAGTATGTATTAGTTAACTAACCCTATGTAACCAATTACCCTAAAACGTAGCAGCTTAAAATAGCAAACATTTATTACCTTACACAGTTTCCAATGGTCAGAAATCCAGGAGCAGCTTAGCTGGGTGGCGCTGACTCAGGGTCTCTCATGCAGGTGCTGTCAAGACACTGGCTGAGACTGTGGTCATCTGAAAGCTGGGGTGGCTCCACTTCCAAGTTCACTCACACTGTCTTCCTCGAAAGCCCTTAGTTGCTTGCCTTTGGGCCTCCCCATAAAGCTGCTGGCGACATGTCAGCTGGCTTCCCCCAGAGCAAATGTTCCCAGGGAAGGAGAGCAAGAGAAACCAAAATATTAAAACCCAACCTCAGAAGTGACTTACCAGGAGTTCCCTGGCAGTCCAGTGGTTAGGACTTGCCTCTTTCACTGCTGGGGCCTGGAGCTAAGATCCTGAAAGACATGTGGCACTAGAACAAAGTGGGAGGGAATATGAATTCCAGGAAGTGGGGATCGCTGGGGTCCTTCTTACAGGCTAGCTATCACAAAACATTTTTTTTTCTCTTTTTTTTGGCCATGAAATTTTCGGGATCTGAGTTCCCCGACCAGGGATTGAACCCAGGGCCATGGCAGTGAAAGCACCGAGTCCTAACCAGTGGACCGCCAGGGAAATCCCCTTCCCCCCAAAATTTTTTAATGTTAAAAACAAAATTTTAAAAAACAACAAAATATGATCAACACCCATGAACCCACCACTCACACAAGAACCAGAACATCACGTCTCCTGTCATCTACCCTCTGCCTCCCTGTGTGAGAGGCTAATCCCATTTTGAATTTCGTGTCTATCATTCCTTTGCTTTTCAAAAAGTTTTGCCACATAGGCACAGATGTCTAAATAATATGTTTGTTTCATTTGCTTTTTTGATCTTTATAGAAATGATTGGCTGTAAGTAGTAAGTGGTGCTCCCTCCTCCAAGATTCAAGCTTCTGGGCTTCCCTGGTGGCGCAGTGGTTGAGAGTCTGCCTGCCGATGCAGGGGACACGGGTTCGTGCCCCGGTTTGAGAAGATCCCACATGCCGCGGAGCAGCTGGGCCCGTGAGCCATGGCCGCTGAGCCTGCGCGTCCGGAGCCTGTGCTCCGCAACGGGAGAGGCCACAACAGTGAGAGGCCCGCGTGCCGCCCACAAAAAAAAAAAAAAAAAAAAAAAAGATTCAAGCTTCTATAAAGCTCTTCTTTTCCCTTTTGTTCCCCTCCTCTGGAGGTGTAGCTGCTTCCTGGCATTCTTATTTCTGGGTTACCTCAGCATTCTTTATTTATCCATTCTCCTGTGGATGGACATTTGGGTTGTTTCCACTCCTATTCGAAAAATGATGCTGTCTCTTGGGTCCCTGTCTTCTGGTACATGTGTGCAAGTTTCTCCACATTTATACCTAAGCATAGGATGCTGGGTCCTAGGATATGCAAACAAGACAACGTCAAATTATTTTCCAAGATGGTTGCACCAATTTACACTCTCACTTGCAAGTTACACAAAATCCTATTGATCCACATGTTCTCCCTCAGGTATGTGCTGTGGGGAGGTGGACCCAGGGCCTTGGGAGAGAAGAGAGGCTCCCAGGCACTGAGACTGGCAGTGGGAGAACCCACATGCCCGTAGACCCCAGCCCAACTCAGCCAGAGGAGCTTTCAGGCCCTGTGATATTGTGATTTATGATAAGAAATATATATTTGGTCTTCATACCCATCCCGTTTCTGGCACAGACCTCCTAAAACCCTTGGAATTTCCTAATTAAGGAGGGCAGACAAAGGTGTCTTTTGTTATGTTAATGAGATGACTTTTGGACAGGACCTAAGGTTGGCTGCTGGTTTCCAGAGAAGCCTGCCATGTGAATAAGGGTTGGAACTTTCAGTCCCACCCAACGACCTCCAGGGAGGGAAGAAGGATTGGAGGTTGAATCAATTACCAACAGCCAACAATTTGATCAGTCATGAATGTGCAATGAAGCTCTATAAAAACCCAAAAGGAGGGACTTCCCTGGCAGTCCAGTGGTTAAAAATACTGGCTTCCAATGCAGGGGATGTGGGTTCGACCCCTGGTCGGGGAACTGGGATCCCCATATGCTGTGCAGTGCAGCCAAAAACAAAAACCAAAACAAATAACAAAACAAAGGAGAGGGTTTAGGGAGCTCCTGGGTTGGTGAACACATAGAGAGCTGAGGAGAGTGGCACTTGGAGAGCGCGTGGAAGCTTCGTGCCCTTCTGCCATACCTTCCTTGCCCTACGCATCTCTTCTATCTGGCTGTTCCTGAGTCATATCCTTTCATAATAAACTGGTAATCTAGTGAGTAAAATGTTTCTCTGAGTTCTGTGAGCCTACCTAGCAAATTAATCCAAAACAAGGAGGATGTCTTTGGAACCTCCAATCTATAGCTTGTTCTCAGAAGTCCAGTTAACAACTTGGACTAGCAACTCGTGTCTGAAGGGCAGGAGAGTGAGGTGACGTGGGGGGAAGTCTTGTAGGAGCCCTTAAGCTGTGGCATCTGATGCTGTCTCTGGGTAGATAGCATCAGAATCGAGTTCAATTGTATGTAGGACACCCACGTGGCTTCGGAGCATTGCTTGTTGGTTGGGAGACACCCCCCACATGCACCTCATGCACTCACAGTCCCCCACATGTTGCAATTGGGTCCAGGAACCAATTTAGGCCCCCGGGAAGCATTCGGCTGGCCCCTCTTGAGGGAAAGCTCACTTAGATAGGGACACCTTTGCACTCAGCTGCTCTGCTGCTCCAGGGAAAACCATTTACACCCTCCTTGTTGTAAGGACTTCATGAGAATCCTAAAAAAGAATCCGTTGCACAGCAGAGGCTCACTAAATCATCTTTCCTTCTTCCCCCTTCTCCCTCCCCTGCTGCAGCTACTTCTTTTGGAAAGTAGAAGTAAGTGAAAGAAACAAACTCCCAAGCAAATCACAGTGCTCCGACCTCCACGGTCACTAACACAGCATTGATTAATTGCTTACCCACAGCAAGGAAAAGTTAATTACCTACCAAGGAAATTTTAAAAAGAAAAAAGGAAACATGAGTTTAAATCTTAATTAGGGCCCCTGCGTGGTGAGAATGGAAATGAGCTGACTTCCCTTGGATCTAATTGCTGGCAATTAAAGTGAAGGCCTCTGATCCCTGGGCAGCCTCTTGCTCCCACTGTCTCCCCCACAGACCTCCAGCCACACCTCCTCTAAGAAGAGGCAGAGAGGAGGAGCGTGGAGGGAAAGACCACTGCCTCCAGGACTCTGGCCATCGCCCTCAGGGAGATGCTCCCCAGCAGGGATTAGAAACACTGGGCAAAGTCCATTGCCCCAAATCCACCATTCGTGCTTGGTTCACTGCTGCCTAAAATGTCACCACAGGAATAGTGGTAGACGCTGTGACGCCCTGTGGCCCAGATTCCTCTCCAGGCATGCAGGACACTCCCCAGCTGCTGGGATGGCTGCCAGCAGACAGCCTCAGTTGCTGCCCTTCTGGATTGCCCAAGGTCACACCTTGGCAGGTGTGACCAGCCAGCCTACGCCCAGTGACAATTAACATGATGTCCTAAGGCCCAGCATTCTCACCTCGATTTGGGTCACCTCTGAAAGTTTTGTCAGCTCCTGTGCTCCTGGGAGGGTTGACCGGGCAGTTGTTCAGACTGCAGTGCAGCTCACCTCCCTCTGGTCAACCCTGCTGCCAAACCCTCTTCCACAGGTGACAATCCCAAGAGAACTCCCTAAGGAATGTCCTGCACACTTATCTCCATCTCAGAGTTTGCTTCTCGGGCATCCCAACTTGTGACAGAGATTTAAATTAAGCAAATTTAAATCTGAATATAATTTTACAAATTAAGAATGTAAAATTTTACATTCTATAGAATCATAAACTAAAGGAACCTCAGAAGGCATCTAGCCCAGCCTCCCTCCCAGCACGGTGGTACGGTTAGCATCTCACCCGGCTGATGGGGCCTTGGTGGAACACTGACCGTGACAGGGACTTGTCATCTCAGAGAGTGGCCCTTTCAGTGCCTGGACTGCCTGGACTGCTAGAAGGCTCTTCTCATACTGGTCAGCTCCTTCCAGGCAGAGCCACAGAGCAAGGGTCTATGTGGTGCTAGGATCGTGCCAGGCTGTGGGGAAGACAGGATGGTACAGACCCTGCCCCAGCACCTCAGCAGTCCTGACGACGTGCACTTGTCCCACAGCTGAAGTGCTGCACTGCCCTCCGGACAGCGGAGCACAGGCACACAGTAAGACAGCCACCCGATGGCCTGGACGCTCCGCTTCTGTAAGCAGCCTGGTTCCCAGCTGGCTCAACTCAGACATTTCCAGGTGCTTGCTTTCTTTCTTCCTTCCTTCCTTCCTTCCTTCCTTCCTTCCTTCCTTCCTTCCTTCCTTTCCTTCCTTCCTTCCTTCCTTCCTTCCTTCCTTTCTTTCTTTCTTTTCTTTCTTTCTTTCTTTCTGGCTGCGTTTGGTCTTTGTTACTGCGCGCGGGCTTTTTCTCTAGTTGTGGTGAGCGGGGGCTACTCTTCGTTGCGGAGCGCGGGCTTCTCATTGCGGTGGCTTCTGTTGCAGAGCACGGGCTCTAGGTGCGCGGACTTCCACCAGGGAAGTCCCTTTCCAGGTGCTTTTGATAAGCCTAGTTCCCACCTGGGGCTCCTCCAAGGGTATCCTCAGTCTGACCTGGGTCCCCCTTTCAGCAGCACAGGTCGTTCAGCTGAGGTTGTGTCACCCCCTATATGGCGGGAAAGGCCACTGGTCTGCTAAAGAATCGGCCGGTGCCCAGGGATTCCCTGGATGACGTCGCTTGCCTGAGCCAACTCTAGGACCCTGTTGCTGCTCTGGCCCCAGGTGCAGCTAGATGGCGCTGTCCCTTCAGGGTGGCACCTGCCCTGGCCTGACCAGCAAGCTCACCCTTCACACACCCACATGACTGCATGGATGCAGAGGGGTCCACACCGTTCCTGGACCCCAGCCCTAGGCCTTTATGGAGGCCATGGTCACAGCCCATTGGAGACACTGCCCACTCCTTCCTCCAGGGCTCAGAGCAATAATTGTTCATTCAACAAGTATTGGTTGAGGGGCCAGGGTGGGTGGGAGACACCCAGAAGAGGTTTTGGGGAGGGAGGAGGGGTGTGGAGTGGGCAGACCAAAGCCTTCTGCAGGCTTGGCCCCGGCAAGATGGGGTGGAGAGGAGGGCTGGACTCTTGGCTAGTCTAGGCAGGACCCACAAACAAACGCGTGCCAATGAGATGCCCAGAAGCAGGCAGGATTCCGTTCAGCTCAGCTGGACTCTCCTGAGCCCACACAGCACAGCCCTTCATCCTCTGGGTCCCGGTACCGGAGGGCTTTCCCTTCCTGACCCCACCCCACACTGGTTCTCCCACCCTCTCCCTAGGCTCTTCCTCTA